TGGTGACAGAGTGAGACTCCATCTCAAAAAAGAAAAAAAAATTGGCTTGAACTTCTGTCACCAAAAATACAAGGAATTTCAGAAGTCCCAAAGCCTGGCCTTTTATCTACATAATTGGCACCGAAGGAAAGCACTAAACTGGAAGTCAAGATCTCAATTTTAAACCCAGTTCTCTTGTGCTTCTTTCTTCAACTAAAAATATTGGTTCTAATGTGACCCATGAAATGTCAAATTCATTGGTTCTATAAGCCTAGGGTTTGATTTAGGATGCAAAAAACTATTAATCTAAAATGTGTTTGAAATACAATTAATATTTCTCAACAAAAGTTGCATTAGGCTTTGTGGACATATTTGCTCAATAATACAACTTTTGGTTGGAATGTGAGACTTTTATTTCAGGACCAAAAGAAGTGAGGAATGCAAACTGTGACCCACCGTATAATGCATCTTCTTGAATAATGAGAGCATAACAAGTGCATGTTGATGCAGCACTATGGCAACAAAGCCCTGTAATTCCCACTCCGGGCTGCAGCTGAGATCAGCCAGGCTGGTATGTGAGGACTTTTGGCACCCTTATCATAAGAAAGAGAACGAGAGTCACCATTATTCTTAGAAAAGTAAAGCAACTGCACTATTAAGTCACCATATTAAGTGTCCAAAAAAAAATTGACTCAAAAGGAATAAAATACACATTAGTCAAACTCTGCTTCAGCCATTATAAATTCAAAAATCTTGTATATAGAGGAGCACAGACGGTAAGGCTGAAATACACATGTATGCGAAAATGCCATGTGTTCATTAAAAACAACGCAGGTTTTAAAGAGTTAAACATCTAATTGGTGTAAGAGAAGATACAGAATTGCCAGTATTTCTTATTACATGCTTAGAATATAGCCTTTATGGAACTATTAGAGGATAAGACCCACTTTTGCCATGTATTTGATTAAAAAATGAGGGGGAGTCATTTTATCAAAATAAAAAGGATGAAGTTTAGGTTTTAGTGTTGTTGCTCTAAGTATTAAAAATGGCCTAGTACCAGTCAAATGCAGCTCTGAGTTCACTGTCCTCTTTCTGGAGACAGTGTGCCTATCCTCCCCTAGGGACCACAACAGGGAGATCTGCACAGAAATGTCAAGCAGAATGTGTACCTGGCATGCTCAGGACAAATTTGTCTTTTTCTTTCTCACTTCAAAGTTTTTCTAACATTTAAATTATTTAAAATCTAAAACAGAAGCAGCTGGACAGAGGGAGGGAGAGAGAAGGAAAAGAAGAGAGGTTATGTTCAATCCTCACTTTCAAGGAGAGTGAAAATCGGCTTTGGCAGCAGGCAGGGCGTGTCTAACTGAACTCAACTTTTCCTATCGAGCATGTTGTCCCAGAGAAAGCACCTCTCCTCTGTAGAGACATGATACTCTTGAGAATGCCTCTGGCTGCCTGAGATGTAAAATCAAGTTATCAGAATAAACAGCAGGCTTCATGTTATACTCTGCCCTGGTTTCTGAAATCAGGATGCATTCTTTCTACGAAGAAAATAATTCTTATCATAATTGCCACAGGATAATTATGATCTATAATTATTGTGACTGTTAATGATGCATGAAGAAGAATACAGCTTGATTTTCAAAGCCTAACCCTGAAGAAGCAAGACAATTAAAAGCTTGTTTTGACTAGTTAAAGTGAAAAAACTTGACACAAAAGTCACAAAGGAAAAAATCTACAGAGGGAAAATATTATCAATTGGCCTGACTCAGCATTTCTGAAACAAGTTACAAGCACCAAGTGCAGGAGAAAGATCTTTCAAGAACCAGAAGGCCAGGCCAAAATCATGACTGCAGATGAATTCTGGGAAGGAGTGTGGTCCCCAGACCATTGAAGCCCACAAGGGAAGAATGTCTTGACTCCTATTGTCCTCAGGGAACACAATGCAGTCCCTTCTGCAATCTCGTTTAATACTAACTTGATTCTACGTAACACACAAATGATCCAAAAGAGAACATTAACATCTGCAGAATGAGTACGTAAAATTTCCCAGATTTCTGGCTTAGGTGTTTGAATTCCAAGGCAGGCAGCGAAGAGGCTTCCACTTCCTGAGTGTGCAGGTCCCACTCAGGCATGTGGGCCAGTATCATCTGATGCACTGAGACCTTCATGCTCATAAAGATAACGTAGTAGTGAGCTTTCAGTACCAAAAAATATAAGTGGCTCGCAAAAAAGATATTTAAACGGGAGCAAACAACTTTGATAACATTTCATCTATTTCATTTAGGCCTTATGGAGACTCAGTTTTGAAAATCTGAAAAAAATGAAGGCCCCCATTTCAAAAAATGAACTGTGGGCAACAGAAAAAAATGTGTCATTACCTAACAAGTTATATTTTCAGAAGGAATCCTTTAATTCAGAAATGCATATCTCACAAAAACATCTTCTCAACATAGTATCATTTCAGAAAAAGCAGGAAACATGACTCCTTTTTTTTGCCTCATTTGCTAAAAATCATCTTCTGCCCATTTCACCACCATTACCATCTTCTACAGTAGCCTGGTTTACGTCTGAATTTGTTAAGAAATCCTGAGTGAGCCGAACACAACACTAAGAACACAGAAAGAAGCTCAATGTGTCGAATATACAATTTCCTTCTTTTCTTCAAGCACTTTTTTCTCAAACTATAAAGATCTTTAGAATTCCTAGAATTATCTAAGATCCCTTGAAACAAGAGAGCCAGAATCTATCTCCATTTCATCCTGAGCATAAAGCACTTGTAAATAAGCGGAGGCAGTGTCTGTGACAAATAAACACAAGATTATTTGAAGGCATAATTTTATTGTTTTCACTACTGGGAGGTAGGTAATCTCAATATAAGCATTATTTTTCTCCTTTCTTGAAATCTGTAAGCGGCATCCTGTTGTATGCACAAAAGGCTGTCTCAGTAAAATACATTTTTTTGATGTCATTGGTTTTGTTCTTATTCCTGAATAAATTATGCTCTAACCTGATCCATCTGTCATTTCAAATATCAATTTGCTTAGCAAACCCTTTTTGCGTATTTTATATAGGCGAATCTCAGTCACAGCTCCCTCCCCACCTGGTCCACACACCTCGCATAAATGCAGACATGAGTTTAGCCAGGTGTGGTGGTGTGCACTTGTAGTTCTAGCTACTCAGGAGGCTTAGGTGGGAGGATCATCTGAGTCAGGAATTCAGGACTGCAAGTGAGCTATGATCGTGCCACTGCACTCTAGCCTGGGTGATGGAGTGAGACTCTGTCTCAAAAAAATAAATATAAATGTAGACATTCATGAGACATGGGGCTGCTTCTGCTTTACTCCCAGTTCACAGAGGTTATAGGTGAATTAATCCCAAGTATAAGATGTACTGTAAATGAAATGAGGTCTGTTACATGTAGCAGACTATATTTACTATACATATTCTCAATTATTTAACTCAACATATTGGTACTATATTGTTAGCCTGCTATTAATACTCCAAACTCAGCAGATTACAGGGGTCCCCAATTAAACTATTTGAAGCTTGTTTAAGGACTAGGTTAGCAACATGCGAGAAACAGCATTTTTGTGTCATTCCTGGTGCCAAGTCATGCTACAGAACTTCCCACATCTTCAGAGAATTTTTTACGAGAGAATTTCAAATCACTCGAGCAGTCCCTCATTGTCTATAATCAGCTAAACACAAATGATTATGAAACTGGACGGCAACAAAACTCAAATGGACTGAACAGAAAATGTCCACGCAGAAAAAGCAAATTTTAGTCTCAGGATTATTAGTAACTTCTAAGAACCTCCAATTTATCCCTATTAGGAAATATGCAACATGAAAAGTAAAAGGAAATTGTTTTAGAAGAATTCCATGTAACACAAGATTTTAACATGGGCAGTCTCCAGTGGTTAAGAAGAAACAAGAAACGTGTTTAATATCTTAAAAAACAGCATTTGAATCTGCAAAAATGTGAATTATTTAATACTTAAAATATGTTAATCACGTCTAGATTTGAAAATGTGGCATCAATGTGAAGTAGGGCATTCAACCCTGTGTATCAGGAGACAGCAGTGCCGCCTGCCCAAGACTGCAGAGAACAGACACAGCTGCTGCTCTCAGCACTCTCCCGGCCCCCAGGAAGAAAGATTCCAATCACGGCATATTCATTTAAAAACTATTCTAATAATAATTAGACTCATCAACTGCAAAGTTTTTTTTCCCCTTTAAACTATTCTCTAAATTTGGCCAAACTAAGTACTTGATACAAAAATCCTGGCAAAGAGCAGGGGTCCCTGCGGGACTGTGTGGCAAACTCTGACATTCTCTTGCCTTGGCAGGTAAGTCAAAACAAGGACAATCTAAAAAGAGGCCATTCCCTCCTCCAATGAGCAATTCAAGGATTAGAACTGAAATAATCGCAGTTAGAGCATAGGAAACAGACACACACATACTCAAACATAGCCCCACCACCACAGCGATGCTCATAGCTGACAATGGCTGAATTTCATTACAAGCAAATGATCTGACAGCTCTGTCATTAAAAAAAAAATCAAGTAGAGGGCTGGGCACAGTGGCTCATGCCTGGAATCTCAGCCCTTTGGGAGGCCAAGGTGGGTGGATCATCTGATGTCAGAAGTTTGAGACTAGCCTTCCCCCTACCCCCCCAAAAAATCAAGTAGAATGCTTAAGTGAGGGTATTTCCCTTCAATGTAAGACAAAAATCAGCAGCCACAATTTAAAAATTTACTCCATAAGGAAATCAGCATTAATTCTGAAACTAAGACACTGGGAAACTGCAGTGGTTTGCTGCGGCAAGGACCGTGCCTACCCCAAGGAGTCAGCCAACTCCGTGACAACCTGACTCCATTTTTAGTCTCCCAAACCTTTTTCTGTTTGAGAATCATGAGCTTGAGTTGCTGCTGAAAAATACTTGATTTTAACAATAAATTTAAGGTGTAAAGATTTTGTTACCTTTCCGCTGAAAGATTAGTTGAAAAGGACACAAATGATTCACAATAAAGGTTTATGTTTTAGGTGATCACCACCAATACACACAGTTGAAAAGTACCATCACCCCATATATATTTGCTTTAAAAAAATTACAAGCTTCAGGTAAGAATAATTTTTAAAGGATCAATTTTTCATTTACATACAACCAATACATCTTATTTACATATAAATGACTAAATCTTTATTCTATTTTCTTCATATAAGGTATTTTAACTGGTAGGTAACTGTCCTATTCTGTTTTTATAGAAAGACTAAATAACCTCTTATTCACAGGCAGTTTGGATGATGCTAGTTTGTCTCCAAATTACATACTGAATACAGTTAAAACCTTAATGAAGAACATAAAAATTAAGATTCAGTATTAAGAGCCTGTTTTATGGGTCACATTGGTTATTCAAGGAGTCAGCTGCCATACCAGGCATACCAGCATAAATTACAGCTGCAACAAAACAGAAATCAAGCGTGCTTCTGAAGACCCTGAAAAAGAAGTCTGACTTCTAAGACATTACCTACTGCTTAATACTGTTATTGATGGGAAATTCTTATATTGGGTTCATTTTCTTTCCGTATAAAAACACTGATTTTTCTACTGATATTTAACTTTAAAAAGGTATTTTACTTCTTTAACCCTCAGAGAACTAGTATATTTCGGCAACTAACCAAAAAAAGGGAAAAAAATTAGACATGTATCTTTGCCTGGTTTCCAAAGGGTTAAAGTGCAGGAATTTTTCTATACTGTTATATAAGGCACTTATTCCACTTTTTTCTTAAAGGAAACTTTTTCTTTGGTTTCTTGTAACTTTTCAGTAAGTCTATCTTTTGTTTCTTCCATTTTCTCTGTGATAAGCTCCTTTGTCTCTTCCATCCTGTCCTGCAGATACTCCTTGACGGGTGGTGGTGTGGACATGTAGCCATGACTGCGCAGATACTTCACAGTGAAGGATGTTCCTCCCAGAGTCACGGTATACCGGGCAGGTGTTGCAATCTTAAGCAAAAGCAAACAGAGGCAAATCAAAACCTGTTTATTACCGCCATCTTAAGCAAAGACAAGTTAAAATTAAAATTAAAATTATTGGTAATAACCAATCAGCTAATCACAGAGCTAATGTAGTAACATCCTATATGGTTTTCCCTAACAAGAGACACTTCTGTAAACTCATTTCATGAATGTTTGTCCCCTACACAATCCAGACCCAGATAACAGAATCATAGCACTGATGTCCCTAATCGAAGGCTGTGTAAACCTGTGGGGCAGGTCACCCTGGAAATCAGAAGGAGGGCTCAGTATCACTAACAATAACAAAGAAGCACATGTTTCTATTCCTTAAAACCCCTGCCACCCTGCCAGATGCTTTCTATCTGGAGCTGAACTAGAACTGAACGTCTTCAAATGGGGAGAGGTAGAGCGTGAATCCGCTCTCTGCTGGATTTAGGTTAGCTTCACTTCAAAGTCCCTTTCCCTTGACTTTTCCAGACCTATGCTACCTTCTCATCACAATCTACCCTGAGTCTCAAATCCTAGTCAGTCATTTACATGAGGCCAAAAGTGGTAAAATGGCACACCTGCCGCAGACATACACAGGTTTAACGTTAATCAGAGCTTTAAGGACCAATGCTAAATAGAAGATGACTAGTCAAAGAGAACCATAAAAGCAAAAAAGGCTGCATCACATTCTGAGTCAAAAATGAGGCAGGGCGCAGTGGTTCATGCCTGTAATGCCAGTACTTCAGGAGGCTGAGGTGGGCGCGTTACCTGAGTTCAGGAATTCAAGACCAGCCTGGCCAACATGGTGAAATCCAGTCTCTGCTAAAAATACAAAAATTAGCCGGCTGTGGTGATGGGCACCTGTAATCCCAGTTACTTGAGAGACAGAAGCAGAAGAATCCCTTGAACCCAGGAGGCAGAGGCTGCAGTGAGCTGAATCGCACCACTTGCTCCAGCCTGGGTGACAAGAGTGAAACTACACCTCAAAAAAGAAAAATTATAGGTGTTGGCAGGTACAATAGCTCACACCTATAATCCCAGCGCTTTGGGAGGCTGAGGCAGGAGGATTACTTGAGCTGAGAAGTTCAAGACTAGTCTGGGCAATATAATGAGACCCTGCCATCTCTAATAAAAGGAAAAAAAAAGAAAAGAATAATTAGCTGGGAGTTGTGGCATGTGCCACTACAAGTCCCAGCTACCTGGGGGCTGATGCAGGAGTATTGCTCAAGTCTGGAAGTTCAAGACTGCAGGGAGCCGTGATTGCACCACTGTACTCCAGCCTGGGCAACAGAGCAAGACCCATTCTCAAACAAAACAAAACCCATAGGTGTGCTGTATAACAAAACTCTGAAAGAGCTGTCTGCTTTATCTCTAATTTCTCTCCTAAACTCACATTAAACAAGCTTTCACCTCTACCTCTTCACCAAAACTGCTTTCAAAGTCACAGTGACCTCTACAAAACTAAATCCAGTTGTCAATTTGGAATCAGCCCCTGGACCAGTGGAACCATCTGAGACAGCTTTCACTTCCCTTCACTTGGCTCCAGGTCCTCAATTTGCTGGGGCTCCTTCTAGTTCATGGCAGCTTCTCATTTTTGCCAATTCCTCCCCATTCACCCACCTCTGAACATGGTGTGACAACAATCAAGCCCTGGACCTCTTATTTTCTCCACGTATCTCACTCCCTTGGTTGTCTTTAGTGCCATCTACACATCGATGGTTCTTAACTTTAATCTCCAGACTGAACCTTTCCCCTGAATTCCACCTCCACTTGCATGTCTAACAGGATCTCAAAACTTAATGCAGACATGAGTCACTTAATAGGGATACGTTCTGAGAAATGCGTCATTAGGTGATTTTGTTATGTGAAACATCACAGTGTACTTATACAAACCTAGATGGTGTAGTCTTCTGCACACTCAGGCTACAAGGTATAGCCTATTGCTCCCAGGCTACAAACCTGTACAGCACACTACTGCGCCGGATACTGCAGGCAATTATAAGACCAGGGCATTTGTATACCTAACCTATCTAAATATAGAAAAGGTATAGTAAACATATGGTATTTGTAAAACATGGGACCTACGGGACCATCACTGTCTATGCAGCTCATAGTTAGCCGAAATGTCAATGGGTGGCACATGACTGCATGTTCAAAACTGACACTTGGATCTTCATCTGTCCTACTTCAAACCTGCTCCTCTCAAAGTCTTCCTCATCTCAGAAAATGGCAATTCAATTCCTCCAGTTGCTCAGGCCAAAACATTACAAGAAAGCTTCAATCTTCTTCTTTTTCCATAATTTATATCCAAATCATCAGAAAACTGCAGCAGCCATGACTTTAAAACATATCCAGAATCCAACTACTTCCTGCTACCACTTGGGTTCTGGCCATTATTGCCTCTCACCTCAAAATAGTCTAAGCACCTCAAACAAGGTCCCTTGGCTTTTCCCCTGATCCTGCCATGGTCTGTTAATATAGCAGCCAAAGTAATTTTGATGGAACAGAGGCAGGATGCTTAAAATTGTCCAATGGCTTTCTATGTCCTCAGAGTGAAGGCTGAAGTCCTTGTAAGGACCTACAAGACTGCCCTGATCTGATGACAGGCCATTCTCTGCCCTATTCACCGACTCCAGCCACACTGGCTTCCCCACATCCCTGAAATTCTCCTGGGATCCTGCAGCCTCAGAACCTTGCCTTTGGGGTTTTCTGTTTGGAATGCTCCTCCCCCTTGGAGGAGCAACTCTCTCACCTTCTCAGCAAGGGATGTTTTTCATCTCCCAGGGAAAAACAAACAAATACCACAAACACGCCTCCATCCCTGGTTTCCTTTCTTAGCACTTACCATCATCTATGTACACATACTATGTGTGCACATGCACTTTTAACTTTATCGTCTCCCCACCCCACCACCATTCTCTACACTATCAGCTCCACAAGGAAGGTATTTTCCACTGTCTTTGATTAGTTTATTCCCAGTACCGAGAATGGTACCTGGGCGTATTTCAAAGAGATTGTGAGGTAGTCAGCGCATACACCCTGCAGCCAACTGCCACCAGACCATTCATGCCATAGTTCATTTTGGGGCTTTGTCTTGATGATGCAATAAATCTGTGTTTGTTGTTCTATTTGAGAAACTGTGGGTTACAGATAATACACAGGAGAATCCCCTCTGTATCTCCTACATTACAGAGGAATAGTGAGGGGAAAACACCGCTGGCACTCATCTCCCTACCATGAAGCCTACAGCTTCATTTCCAACCCCAACTCTACAAACATGCACTGAGCATTGTATTCACCTACAGAACACAATACCGGGCGCAAGTGAAAAAGCAAGAAAGAAGACATGTTTCTGAATTCCTGGGAGCTCCTAATCAAATAAAGAAAACAAACAACACCTAGCACAGAGTGCGCTATCAACTGTTATGCTATGGGAGTGGCATAAAAGCAATTAAATTAGGGAAGGTATACATTATCATGGTAGTTTGACTTATTCAACATTATACCTACCATAACTAGAAACTTGATAATTTATTAATTTAATACACTTTAATGTAGAAAAACTCAACATTAAGTGTTAGCCTTCTCATCAAAATTATAATAAAAGAGGAAATCTACCAAAATTTCAAGGATGCTAATAAGGATGACAGAATAAAACAATGCTACTTTTGAGTAATGCTATAAAACTGTAATTCTTAGATATTCTTATACAACAGAAGTAAAATAAAATAACATCTAGTTTCTAAGTGTTTTCAACTTTCTTAGGTAAAAGTTTCATAGACTCTCATAAATATTTGTCAATTCAAAGAATGATATTAATATGGCTAAATTCCACAATTTACAGTGAATCTTCCCTTTCAAAATAAAAACACACAGGCACAGAAGCTATCAAGATGATGTCTGAATCCAGAGAATAGTTATAAAGATTACAACTTCTAAAATAAAACATATGTTGGGTTAAGATCTAACAAAAAACAGTTTATCATGTAAGACATAAGACAATTTGGATTAAACCTATTTTACTTGCTAAGAAAAGATGAGCTATTCTAAACAGTAAAATAAATGTTTAATTTTGCTAACAAGTCAGGTGGCACGCAGATCACTGAATAAGGAAAAACAAATATAATTATGCCTTAAAATAATCCTATCTCCATTTATCAATGGGAGCAATGTCCGACAGATGACCGCTACCACGAAAAAACACAAAAGCCTACCAATTATCTGATCACAGCAAGTTATGAATGATCTACCAATTTTTAAGACATTTCTTCCTAAAACCACATTTTACTTCCACTTTAAAATTTTGTTCTTTAAATTAGTCACCAGACACATCAGAGATGAAATACAATGTTTTAAGTTACAAAACAAGATTGAGAGCTAATGTGGAGTCTCATAGGGAAGTGAGCAAGTCACTGGTGAGGTCTGAGGAGCAATGGGTTTCTAACAGTACCCACCTTAAACATGGCATACGCTGTCAGTGCATTTCCACTCTGGGAGTTTTTCAGGATGTTTACCACACTGTCAGGTATCCCAATGAGTTCTAGAAAAGGAACGAGATTCACTCCTCTATGAGAAAAAAAAAAGGTTATTTTCATATATATAAACTTCAAGCTATTTTCCAAACTTATCTGAAAATACCAAAACTGCACTATAATTTTATTGATTACATTTTGCTTAAAAGTTGATTGTGCATTATCAAGCCCTTTAACTTCACCCTAAGAGAGCATCTTACTTGATGTACAATACAATATGCAGCATACACACAAATATCACATCATGCGGTATCTTACTGTCTACAACTTGTATTTGCTTCTGCATGTGGGCATCCCAGTTAGTATGTTTAGAAAAATAGAAGCATTTATTAGAGTAAAATTGACAGCTTTAAGTAAACTATGAGAAAGGATGAGAATCATTTGCCTGGTCTTAGTTTCCTCAACCTTAGATTGCTCCAACTCACATTTTAAGACCTAAGATTTTTACCTTTAAAATTACATGTAATTTTGTGTAAAATTGCATTATAAACGCAAAGGATATTTTAACATCACTTATTATTATGAGAATGTGTTACTATGCAAAAAAATATATGGTACTATGGGTTTGATGAAAACTTCAATTACTCTTAAATGATGCTTCCATTCTATTAACAGACTTAAGGCAGGTGAAGAAGAAATTACTATATATTGTGATAAATTTATGGAGGAAGGAGAGGCAGAGAAAGTCTCCAACCTGAGCCACAACTTATTTCCAGTTTCTGGATTATCAACATTCCTCATCCCTGGCTTCTTTATTTCCAGTTTCCTGATTATCAACATTCCCATCCCTGGCTTATTTCCAATTTCCAGATTATCAACATTCCTCATCCCTGGCTTCTTTATTTCCAGTTTGCTGATTATCAGCATTCCCATCCCTGGCTTCTTTATTTCCAGTTTCTTGGTTATCAACATTCCCATCCCTGGCTTCTTTGTTTCCAGTTTCCTGATTATCAACATTTCCTATCCCTGGCTTCTTTATTTCCAGTTTCCGGATTATCAACATTCCCATCCCTGGCTTATTTCCAATTTCCGGATTATCAACATTCCCATCCCTGGCTTCATTTCCAGTTTCCGGATTATCAACATTCCTCATCCCTGGCTTCTTTATTTCCAGTTTCCGGATTATCAACATTCCTCATCCCTGGCTTCTTTATTTCCAGTTTCCTGATTATCAGCATTCCCACCCCTGGCTTCATTTCCAGTTTCCTGATTATCAACATTCCCATCCCTGGCTTCATTTCCAGTTTCCTGATTATCAACATTTCCCATCCCTGGCTTCTTTATTTCCAGTTTCCTGATTATCAACATTCCCCATCCCTGGCTTCATTTCCAGTTTCCCGATTATCAACATTTCCCATCCCCGGCTTCTTTATTTCCAGTTTCCCGATTATCAACATTCCTCATCCCTGGCTTCTTTATTTCCAGTTTCCTGATTATCAACATTCCTCATCCCTGGCTTCTTTATTTCCAGTTTCTGGATTACCAACATTCCATATCCCTGGCTTCTTTATTTCCAGTTTCCCGATTATCAACATTTCTCATCCCTGGCTTCTTTATTTCCAGTTTCCGGATTATCAACATTCCTCATCCCTGGCTTCTTTATTTCCAGTTTCCGGATTATCAACATTCCTCTTCCCTGGCTTCTTTATTTCCAGTTTCCGGATTATCAACATTCCTCTTCCCTGGCTTCTTTATTTCCAGTTTCCTGATTATCAGCATTCCCATCCCTGGCTTCATTTCCAGTTTCCTGATTATCAACATTTCCCATCCCCGGCTTCTTTATTTCCAGTTTCCCGATTATCAACATTCCTCATCCCTGGCTTCTTTATTTCCAGTTTCCTGATTATCAACATTCCTCATCCCTGGCTTCTTTATTTCCAGTTTCTGGATTACCAACATTCCATATCCCTGGCTTCTTTATTTCCAGTTTCCCGATTATCAACATTCCTCATCCCTGGCTTCTTTATTTCCAGTTTCCTGATTATCAACATTCCTCATCCTTGGCTTCTTTATTTCCAGTTTCTGGATTACCAACATTCCATATCCCTGGCTTCTTTATTTCCAGTTTCCAGATTATTGACATTCCTGGGTCATAACCTCTTTATTTCCAGTTTCCTATTATTAACATGTTGCCACAATGGCTGTTGCTCTCCTGGACACTGTTAACTCTTCAGCCCTAAATCAGAAGGAGGACATTCACCTACATAAACATCAAATTTATAACAGACATCTAGATTACAGTTTCCTAGTTGTCCCAGTGTTTCCCTTATGGCTATTTTTCCTGCCTCTCTAGTCTCCTTTTCTCTAGAAGTGCTTCTTAGCACTCTATGGTGGAGGAGGGCAGGTTGTCTTTCTTGACATTGAGATCTATGAAGCATCCAGACCCGCTGCTTGGTAGGACATCTCTCAACTTGAGTTTGTGGAATTGTTTCCTCAAGATGAGATGCAGGTTAAGTATTTTCCCACAGGAAAACGACAGAGTGGACACTGTCCATCTCAGCACATCACAATAGGGGGCACATAAGGCCAGTCTGTCCTATCCTTGGTATTACAGAGTTTGCCTCTTGGTGAAGGCAAGGTCCATAGAGACCTCCACTGTAAAAGCTGCTTTCCTTATGTCATTAAGAAAGAGCATTGCCTGGATCCATTCTGTAAACTCTTAATTTATTTTTAATATTAATTAGGGAAAAGATGTCCTAGTCTGTGACTTCACCATACTACACAGTCAGGGAGCAACCTTAACAGATATGGCTGATTATCCTCAATAAAGGACTATTAAAATTACTTATCATCAGAAGTCAGAGGAAACCAGAACAACTTAAGGAAACCTTAAAGAGATAAATTGAAAAATAAACTATGAGTCCAATCTCATTTCTATCTTCATTCTTTCTTCTATCTGTAGTTTCAATTAATTTTCAAATCTCTTTCTAGATAACAACTAAATCTCATTAAAGTAAGGTTTAACAGCATAGCCATTACTCAATGAATTTAATCAAGCCACTAAAATAACTATGCATGGTAACATCCTGCCATAACATGCTAATTATGTCTTCTAGTACCAATCCAATTATGAAATTATTCCATTATTTCCTAATTCCAACTAAGCCCAGTATACTAAATCTATATATTTAGCAGCAATCATGAAGGAAAAAAGAACATATGGCCAAATATAAAAGTGAGTTATTAAAACAACCACCACCACCACCACCACCATTTATCACAAAGATCAGACAACAATGTTTTGGGAGGTGAAATGGGTATAATACTTAAGCCCCAGAGGTCATACAACAATGGACTGAGACACCAAGCACAAGCTGTGTCATCGCTGGCATGCATCTTTTGTCAGATGAAGTAAGCACCTAGTTCCACTTATTTCTAAACTGTTGAGTTGATGACTTTTCTTAAAAATAACTTCCATTTCCTCTGGAATTACTGAATGTGAAGTACTAATGAGGGTCTGATTCAAACAAACATCCACTGTTTGTCACATTCTACTCTGAAGTGCCCATGGTCAGCCAGGAATCTGTGCTTCAAAATCTGCCAGCTTTACAACTGTTTCCACAGACGAAGAAACACACAAAGGAAAAGCACATTCACTGTCTGGATAAAGTACAGTAGAAATCAATCAGGGGTTTGCCTTAGAGTGAGTTTGTAATTTTAGGAACTTGAGGTCTCAAACACGGCATCTAAATGCAGGGACCACACCATCACTGGTGAGCCACATTTGATCAACCAAAGCACTTCTAGACAGAAGACATCAGATCTCTGCAAGGCTTTGCCAGATAGGAACAGCAACGAAGCTTGGTTTAAAATAAAATATATTAGCACACACAATTTAGAACTCCCTGAAATAAAGTATTTCAAAAGCCCGAGAACTTCATCACTGTGTTAACTAAATATAGAATGACATTTTGCTCTAGGGTGCCTAGAAAGGCGTGAGCTGTCAGAGTAACTAAGACAAACACTGGTCAGTAATGTGGCATGATGTCAAATGCTCATCTTTCCCGCTACAAACTATTTTTTCTCCCTTTCTTTTAATAGTAAGTAGGCAACAAACAAATAACACAGAACTTTTTCCACCTAAAACAAACAACACTAAAATACAGACGCTTGTCAGGTGAATTGAAAATCTATATTTAGTATAACCAACTTCCATTTTTACAATACAATCATCCTACTGTGAAAATATTCTAATTCCTTTTTCTTTCATTCATGAGTTCAGTTTTCTTAAGCATTACTTGTGATTAAGATCTTCATTTAGAATAAATCAACTTTCAATTTTTGAAGGATCCAATAAAAACTTTAAGAAGGACTGTTCTGGAAAGCAACCCATCCTGCCCATTATAAATTTGCTATGTGATGCTATGACAGAATTGGCCCAGTGGTTGTGGAGGGCAGTAGTGGTGCTCTGGCAACCAGATTCCCATGCTAACAGCCCCAAAGCAAGGTGCAATGAGGAAGGGTATAATTTTAAAGTTGATAGTTGTACCACGATGTTTACATATAAGCATTCTTAAAAAAATAAAAAAGAAGGGGGAAGATAAAACTAAGAAAGTTGCATTTCACAGGAGATGACACAGTATAGCCCACAATTGCTTTAGGTGCCACACAGCATTATTCTGGGTCTACTTTTTTAGTTACAGAACTTTTACCAAAGGGAATAAGAAAAAGTAAAAGGAACAAAAGTATTCTTCTTAAAAGCCTAAATGAGAATATCATAGTCAATTAATTAAAAGCTTGAATTTCTCCCTTTAAGGCCAGCCAGGTGGCTGAATGCCTTGCCTTATGGGCAACCTGACAAGGACAAAAGAAACAAGTATTTTTCATGTCATCTTTCACAGACTGAATCATAAGAATCCTCCATGACTCAAAAAAGAAAATTTAATATGTGGAAACCTATTCATTACAAAGCAGAACTGAATGCCTAGAATAACTTTTGATCAAAATAGTGACTTTATGTTCTGTTAAAAAACTAAGGGCAGTTTTGAAGACTTCTATAAATATTAAATGTGCCCAAAAGTGTCATTAATAAACAAAGAAACAATTCCATAAAATATATACATAAGACTCTTCTGCAAGGAAAGATAAAATTCTTAAAGAAAATGATATGCAATGAAGAAGGATATAATTGAATAAAAGGACCATAAGGTAAAGATATAAAGTGAAACAGAACAGCATCAATTACACGAGATGAAAAAAAAAAATCCTCTTAGAAATTTTGTCTAGAAATCTATGTGATCCTGTATTTCCCCAAAATAAGTAGTTTCTATCTTAGTCTGCAATTGGGTGCTTCTAAGAAGTGAGCTTTATGTACAACACTAACCATGTTTTTTTAATGTCTTGATGTCAGGCTGTTAAATATAATCAAGCATTGAAAATCACTCAACTCTGGAAAGTATAAAATAATTCTCAATCCATCAGGAGAGTACTGAAGTGTCCAAGTCCTTCGTGCACACAAGGACACTGAGGAATGGGCACTCGGCCGACTAGTGGCAGAAATGGGCAATCACCAGTCCTGTGCCTAAAGTAGTGTGAAGCAAGCAACTTACCTTAAGGGAAAGGCACAGTATTAACAAGGGAGATTAAAATTGTATGTTTCAAAACACTGGGAGGCTAGACCTGCAAGCTTCACTTCTGATAAGAACAAAAGACCTTCCATTGACACTTACTGGACTTGCACAATATCAATGCAAACAGATTAGTAGCCAAGCCTTGGCACAATATTCTGAATTTCCCACCAAAACCATACAAATGCAAAATAGGTATCTTTTCACATTTATGAACATTCTAAGAAATATATAATTGTGGAATCATGCTGTTGCCAAATTTCTGAAATTTGATCATTTTATGTCTGTGGTCTCCTGAATGCCAGGATGAAATCTGCATATAGGAGTATGTGCTTTGAGATAACACACACCTAACTGGGTTTTTAGTCCAGGCACCACCTCTTACCAGCTGAGTTATTTTGGGAAAAGCTGAACTATTTTTACTTCTCCTTGCCTAATCTGTTTTCTCATTCATAAAAATGGGTGTAATTGTATAACTTGCTTTATATGGTTGCTGGGAAGATTAAACAACAGTTAAAAATTTCTGCAGATGCTTGCTCCAAACAGTAAGCAAATGTTAGCTTTTATTATTAAAATGTGAAAAAAGCTATGAAAAGTAGTTATCCTCCATTGATGAAAAACATTAAAGCATTTAAAAATCTTTAAATCTAAGGCTATCTGGGCCAGGCACAGGGACTCATGCCTGTAATCCCAGCACTTTGGGAGGCAAAGGCAGGCTGATCACCTGAGGTCGGGAGTTCAAGACCAGCCTAACCAACATGGAGAAACCCCCTCTCTACTAAAAATACAAAAAATTAGCCAGGCATAGTGATGCATGCCTATAATCCCAGCAGCTCAGGAGGCTGAGGCAGGAGAATTGCTTGAACCTGGGAGGCGGCGGTTTTGGTGAGCCAAGATCACGTCATTGCACTCCAGCCTGGGCAACAAGAGCAAAACTAGGTCTAAAAAAAAAAAAAAAAACTAAAGCTATCATTAGTACAATTTAAAAGACAGGGAAAGACATTCAACTAAGCAAAAACTTACTTCAAGGCTGCATAATAAAATGTTCCAAACCAAACACCAGAAGTTATTAGATGCACCGGAATCAAAACTTTTCCATACTGTCTAAATGTTTTCTTGAATCGTTGATAAAGACTAATAGATTTGTCTTGTAAAGGATCAGTCTCTTCCTTTTTTTCCGGAGTTCCATGCGCTGTGCCACGGGATGAAAAATCCCTCCTGGATGAAACACACTGCTTCCCTTGCTTATGGTGAAGGACTCCTGGTTGGGGTGGATGAGCATCCAATGGCCTCCTTTCCTTTGCAACACACTGGGCAGCAGATAAATGCAACCATTGTTTTTGAGGACCTTGCACCAAAACCACTTTGGATTCAGCATTGCACAAAAGTAAAGGTCCCTTTACATTTTGACAGTGTCCAAAAAGACCAGCTTTATGTAGTTCCAAGCATGTCCTGCGTGCCAGTTGAGATACAATCCGTGACACAATCCATTGCATTTTGAAGAGTGTTGATAGGTTTCAGCTACAAAGACAAATTTTTAAAAAAATTAGATAATACTTAGGTTTCCATTTTAAATCAAATTCATTTGAAAATCAATCATTAACTATTAGGAAGTAAAAAGACAGACATTGCTACATAATCCACAGAAACTGATATTAGGGTATACAGTTTAAGCACAGTGTAATTTTAAAATCTCATTAAAGGCCAGGCGCGGTGGTTCACACCTGTAATCCCAGCCTTTTGGGAGGCCAAGGCAGTTGAATCATCTGAGGTCAGGCATTCAAGACCAGTCTGGCTAACATGGCAAAACCCCATCTCCACTAAAAATACAAAAAGTAGTCAGGCATGGTGGTGGGTGAAGCTGAGGCAGAAGAACTACTTGAACCCAGGAAGCAGAGGTTGCAGTGATGTGATATCGTGCCACTGCCCTCCAACCTGGGTAACAGAGCAAGACTCCATCTCAGAAAAATAAATGAAATAAAATATGTCAGGTGCAGTGGCTCACACCTGTAATCTGAGCACTTTGGGAGTCTGAGGCAGGTGCATTACTCGAGGTCAGGAGTTCAAGATGAGCCTGGCCAAGATGGTGAAACCCTGTCTCTACTAAAAATACAAAAATTGGCCAGGCACAGTGGCATGTGCCTGTACGCCCAGCTGCTCAGGAGGCTGAGGCATGAGAATGCTTGAACCCAGGAGGAGGAGGTTGCAGTGAGCTGAGATTGTGCCATCGTACTCCAACCTGGGTGACAGAGAGATGCCATCAAGGGTGACAGAGAGAGATGCCATCAAGGAAAGGAAAGGAATGGGGAATGGAAGGGAGCGACAGAGCGACATGCCATCAAGGGGAGGGGGAGGGGAAGAAAGGGAAGGAGGAGGGGAAGGGCAGAGAAAGGAAGGGGAAGGGGAAGGGGAGGGAGAGGGAAAGGGGAAGGGGAAGGGAAGGAAAGGAAAGGAAAAGATTGTTTCCTGTTATCTGTGTAAGAAAAAGGAAAAAAAAAAAAAGAACAGAAAAGAGAAAACAAAGTAAAATAAAATCTCATGAAAGACACCATCTAAATTTGACATGGTAAACTAGTCCAGCATGGGAATGTTTTGAAGCCTCTTATTCTATAAAGAAGTAGTGTAGTATAGTGGGGGAAAAATAAGATCTGGGATCTGATGCTTTGGGTACATAATTCCACATAATTCCCTTTCAGACTCCAAGCCCAGGTCCACTAGTAAAATGAAGATTACTTCACAGGATTGTTACCAGAAATTACACAAAATTTCTGATGTAAAGATGCTTCTGTAAACTAATGAGCATCATAAGTGTTAGTTATGAAAATGTTAAGATCTGATGAATAGTTGATATTAGTATTTATACTATAATGCCTTTGGACTAAGTTATCAAGTTATAAATCACTTATGTTATTGAATGGTGAGAAGAGATAGTCTGGTACTTATCTTCTTTTTTTCCCCACATATCAACAGTGGAGAGAAAAAAAAAAAGTATACAGTGATGTCTCACTATTTGATCTGGCATCAGCATAGAACAAAGATTTACAAGACAGCCAGGTACAGTGGTGTGGGCTTGTGGCTTCAGCTACTCGGGAGGCTCAGATGGGAGGACACTTGAGGCTACAATGCACGTGTGAACAGCTACTCCACTCCAGCCTGACCATACAGCAAAACTGCAAGTCTTTTTTAAAAAAAAAAAGAATTACAGAGACTTTTCCAGATAATTACTTAGACTCTTTAGACAAATGTTTTCCCAGTGGTAAATGTGATTACAGTAGCCATTCCCATATAGTTGATCAGTCCCCTTTTTTGAACATTGGGTGGTGCCACATGCCTCCCCACTCCCAGTGCCAGCTCTATCTTACTACTTCTAACATGTTGAAAATAGACAATCTTATTTAATTGTACACTAAATAAGGGTCAGTGAGATCTGAATTAGCACCCCAGTAAATTAGCACTCCAATAAATACAGATACTCCATCTTACATGAATATTCTTTATCTGGTACACAAAGTTGACTGGTAAAACAAAAACTGCCATCATATAAAAACATTCATTAGTGAATTATCCGCCTATAAAAATTAATCCCCTGACTCATCATCCTTCCTAATCAATAATTAACATCACTCCTAACAGACTCTCACAGATAATCTGACAACATGGTACAAATGAGTTGCTAAGTGAAACTGAAAATCTTGCAAAAATAAATAGGCTCCCAAGAAGTCTTTTAAAAAGTGATACTGGGGCGGTGTGTGGTGGCTCACACCTGTATCCCAGCACTTTGGGAGGCTGAGGCAGGCAAATCACAAGAACAAGAGATTGAGACGGGGTGGCCAACATGGTGAAACCCTGTCTTTACTAAAAATACAAAAATTAGCCAGGCGTGGTGGCACATAATTATAATCCCAGATACTTGGGAGGCTAAGGCAGGAAAATCTCTTGAACCCCAGAGGCAGAGGTTGCAGTGAGCTGAGATTGCAACACTGCTCTCCAGCCTGGACGAAGGAGTAAGACTCGTCTCAAAAAAAAAAGTGATATTGGAGATTAATTTCAGACAAAGCAGACTGCAAACATTCTTTCATTGTTAGTGTTAAAGAGGGGCATTTATAACAATGATAATGAAGACATATCAATCCTAAAAATGTATATACCTAACAAGAGAGGATCAAAATAAACAAGGTAAAAACTGACAGAACAGAAAGGAGAAAAGATGTTCACTTAGAGATGTCAATATTCCAGTCAGCCACCTTGATAAATCCAGCAGGCCGAATGTCAGTAAGGATATAGTTAAACTAAACAACAATGTTAACCAATTTGATTGAATTGACGTTTATAGAATATTCCATTCAACATCAGCAGAATACACATTCCACTCAAGTTCACATGGAACATTCAACAAGCAGACCCCATGGTGGGCCATTAAATATACTGTAACAAATTGCAAAAAATGAAAATTACGCAAAGTTGTGTTCTCAAATTACAATAGAAGTAAATTAGAAATCATTAACATAAAGACAGCTGGAACTTCCACCCACCCTCCAATTACGTGGAAATTAAACAACATACTTCTAAAAAAAAAAAACTTCAAATGTCTAAAAAGAAATTTAAAAATATTTTGAAGTAATTGAAAAAAATACAACTTAACAAAATCTGTGCAATGTGGCAAAGCAGTGCTTTGAGGACTAAACTTTGACCTTTTTCCTTCTACCCAAATTCCCATCTAAGGTATCTGGGGAGTCTACAAACCATGAAATTTCATCAGAGGGGTTTTATTTAACCCTATATAAATGGCTACTTTCCAACTTGTCTCTGGCATAACATCACGACAGATAAAGAAGGAAATCAAAATATTTTACCACAAAATATGTTTGCAATATTTTGAAATGACTCGGCAGAGCCATTTTCTTGGTGGAGAAAAACTGAATTTTTAAAGACTCTATAAACATAACCAGATCCCCGCCTCCAGGTCCTCACAATCCTGAAGCGATTAACTGAGTCTAGCAACTTTTAAAAGGTCTGAATAGGCAACATTTGCAATCTATTGTCTCTAAGGGCGGCCACCTTTGAGAGTTGATCTGTGTATTAAGAACCTTGGTATCCACAACCCTTTATCTTAATCCAGATGCTCTTTTCTATTGATTTCAGGTCTTCCAACCAATTGACAATCAGAAAATCTTTTAATCCAGTTATGACTTATAAGCCCCCATTTTGAATTGTCCTGGCTTTTCAGATCAAACCAATGTATATCCTTCATAATACTGATTGATGTCTTATGTCTCCACAAAACGTTTAAGAAGTAAAGCCAAGCTGTAACCCAACCACCTTAGGTATATGTTCTCAGAACTTCTTGAGACTGCCTTGGACCTTGATTACTTATATTTGGTTCAAAATAAACCTCTTTAAACATTTCAGAGTTCAGTCTTTCATCAAAAGCTTACAGGAAGAATGCACATATTAGAAAAGATCTAAACTCAATAAGCTAAGTTACCTCCTTAAGAAAATAGAGAAAAGAAGCAAGCAGAAAGAAACAATAAAGATCAGAGCAGAATGCAAGCAAGAGAAAAGGGAAACAAAAAATAACAAAACCAAAACCTACTTCTTTGGGGGGAAAAAAATGAGTAAAATTCATGTATCTCTAGCCAGGATAACTGAGAGAGAAAACAAATGACCAACATTAGAAATAACTACTGATCCCATTGACAATAAAAAATAAAGGAATATCATGAATAATTTTAACTCTAAGCTTGTGAGCAAAGAAATGATTTTATCTGAGGAATATGAGCTTTTGTAATTATCAGGCCCAAAGAGACATTAAAATGAGACCGAAATCACGCCTTACCTCTCCTCACCAGCCTTCCTCTGAACTATGCATTCACCTCTTGAAACTGTTATTGCCATAAGTACTATTAATTAACCTAATAATGCTATAATTCATAATCTATAGCTTAACAATGTATAGCCAATAACTAATCAATGCTAATTCTGTAAAACAGTGAGAATTCCTGACAAACAACTCTTTATTACTTCATTCCTGTCCCCTTTAAAAATCCACTTGTAACTGCTGTTAGTAAGTGTGTATATTCAGGGCAATTTGAATCTATGCTCCTGGGTTGCAATCCTCACGCTTTGCCCAAATAAACTCTCTACTTACAACAATTTTGCTTCAGCTTGTTTCAAAGTGACACCCACAAATTTGATAACTTAGATGAAATGAATCACGTCCTTAAAAAGACACAAACTGCCAAAACCCACACAAGGAGAAATAAAAGACTTCAATAACCCTATATTTATTATTCAATAGAGAAATGGAATCAATAATTAATAACCTTTCAAAAAGAAAGAACGAAACAAGGCTCAGATGATTTGACTAGTGGATTCTACCAAACATTTAAGGAAAAAAACACAATTCAGAACACAAAGGCAGAGAAGACTTACTAACTCATTCCATGAGGCCAAAAGTACCCTAATACCAAAACCAGCTACATATAATCCAAGAAAGGAAGACTACAGACTACCTCTTATAA